GGTGGACCCAAACTTCACTGAACCGTTGGCAGATCAACATCGCATCCCTTGTCCCCCATGTTCCTGAATGCGGTCCGAAAACAGTGGACATCTCCGGCCTCCCTTCCCCTCCCAGGTAACACTGATAAAAAACTATACAACGTGGCCAAGGATCTGGAGGAGGCCCTGGAAGTGCCCGCGGTGGACAAGCCATTCGGCTCCCTAGTATCTCCCACTGCCATTCCCGGGGATGTCTCTGAGGCTCTTAAAGCCGAGGACCGTAAGTGCAAACTCGTCTATTGCAGGACGCATCAAGCAGCTGCATGGGCCATTAGGGCAGCCACCTCCGCATCCTTTTTTAATAGATCCGCCCTTCACTGGCTCAGGCAGCTCCAGGCCCGTATTCCAGCGGAGGATATCCGCACCCACTAGGATCTTAGCAAGCTGGTGGCAGCCACCGAGTATGCATCAGATGCCACTCTCCAAGCTGCCAGATTTTCCTCAAGGGCTATGGCGTCCAGCGTCACTGGGCGCCGTATGCTTTGGTTGAAACACTGGCACGCCGATGCAAAGTCTAAGTGGCGTCTGTTGGCAGCTCCATATCAGGGAGATGCTTTGAATCCTTATCTCATCGAAAATAAGGATAAGCGCAATGTCCTTAATCACCTCCTTAAGAAATCGGACAAGCGGTCCAATTATTACCCAAGAAGACAGTCCTTTCATGCAGGGGTTAGGTATAACTACACTCAACCCATCCACCCTTTCCCGGCCAGGCAGGACAGACAGGATAGGCAGTCTGACAGACATGCGGCCAGACCTAGACAGCAATTTCAGGGCAAGTGGCCCTTTCGCGGGAACGGCCGACCATTCCGCCGTGCCAGGTGAATCCAGCGGCCCCTCCCATAGGGGGCAGACTCTCTCTTTTTGCCTACCAGTGGGAGGCCACCACCATGGACGCATGGGTACTCAATACCTGTTACACCTCGGGGCCATCATAGACACGGTGGAGTGCCGTGTGTATTTATCTCAAGAATGCCTGGACAGCATAAGGGAGTCAGTCCTCCAATTACGCAGGGGTCGGACAGTAACGTTGGCCAGTCTCTCCCAATTGTTAAGGAAGATGATCTCGGCCATAGCGATCGTCCTGTAGTCCAGGTCCAGGCTCCACTCCAGGGAACTGCAGTGGTTCTTGCTCCCCTTCCAGAGGCAGAACCTCAGTGCCTCTCAACGAAGGGCAAGACTCCCACCTCAATCGCGCTCCCTCATGTGGGTATCGCCCGCCATGCTCAAAGGGTCATACTTCAAGGAGCCAGATCGGATAGTGCTAACGACCAACGCCAGCCTGTTTGGCTGGGGAACGCACCTTCGCTCGCAGTGGGCACAGGGCCGTTGGTCCCACTCAGACCTTCGGCACAACATAAATTGGCTGGAGCTACGGGCCATACATCTAGCCCTCCACCACTTTCACAGCCTGGTGACAAGGTGCCACGTACTGGTCCTCATGGACAACGTGGCTACAAAGGCTCGTGTAAACTGACGGGGGCACCCGATCTCGGATTCTATTGACTGAGTCACTCTTACTGGGCTCCTGAGCAGAACACAATCTGGGCTCCATCAAGGCCGATCATATTTCAGGGGAGGCGAACACTCAGGCCGACCTTCTGAGCAGGGCAACGGTAGGTCACTCGGAATGGTGCCTCCACCCGAAGGTCTTCAGAGAAATCTGTCACCGTTTCAGCCTATCGCTTTTGGACCTCTTTGCATCCCCGACCAACACCCGGCTGCCTCGATTCTTCTCCCGGGTCCCATCTCCAAAGGGGGAACAGACGGATGCTCTTCGGAGCCCATGGCCACAAGGTCTGCTTTATGCCTTTCCCCCTCTACCTCTTCTCCCAGCGGTAATACACAAGCTTCTTCGGGAGTGAGCGGAGATACTTCTAGTGGCCCCTTGTTGGCCAAGGAGGCCTTGGTTGGCCGATCTGATGAGCCTCTCCCTTGCATATCTATGGTGGATTCCTCCGGACCGGGTCTCACTCAGCCAGGGGACCATTCTCCATCCGGAACCCCAATGGCTCCAGTTAACCGTCTGGCACTTGAGTGCTCAATCTTGTTACAGGAGCTTTGCTCACCAGGGGTTATTACAGTAATCCAGGCTTCCCGTTGCCCTTCCACAAACTATTTACGAGGCCACGTGGAAGAACTTTTGCTCCTGGTGCTCAGGTCGACACCTATCACTCTCGGAACTCATGATCCCCCATATCCTGGACTACCTGTTAAAAGGCCTGGAGAGGGGCTTGGCCCCAAACACATTGCGCAGACAGATAGCTGCTCTTTCCACAGTCCTCACCTGTGACTCTATGGGGTCACTGGAACATCACTCCTTACTCCGCTCATTCCTTAAGGGGGCTGCTAACACCAGACCCCCTACAATGCACAAGTACCCTTCATGGGAGCTACCTCGGGTCCTTCGGGCTCTGACCAAGTTGCGTTTTGAGCCCCTAAAGTTGTGCAACGTTCGCTACCTGTCCCACAAAGTGGCATTCCTGGTGGCAATCACGTCGGCACGACGTATTTCCGAATTGGCAGTGCTCTCAACCTGGGATGACCTATGCATTTTCCACCAGGATCGAGTGGTCCTTCGCCTCGACCCTACTTTCCTTCCAAAGGTCAATTCACTATTCCATAGAGCCCAGGAAATAGTGCTCTCGGACTTTTGCCCTAACCCTTCGCATGCTTTGGAACAGCAATGGCATAGTCTGGATGTCCGCAGAGCGCTCCGGTACTATATTTCACGGACAGCGGCATTCCGCAAATCAGAGGCCCTCTTTGTATCCTTCCCCCAGGGGTCGGAAGGTTTCCTCTTCCACAATTGTCAGGTGGATTAGGGCGTGCATTGCTGGGGCGTATCAGGCTGAGTTATTGCCGGTTCCATGACGGGTTATAGCTCATTCTACACGGAGTGCAGCTACTTCTGCAGCCTGGGCCACTCAGGCATCCATTCAGGATATCTGCAAAGCGGCCACATAGTCTTCACCATCTCCTTTCATACGGCACTACAAAATCGATAGGTTTGCCTTGGTGGAAGCTTCCTTTGGTAGGAGGGTTCTCCAACAGGTTGTACATCAAAGTGCCACACCGGACCGGTCTACTTCCCACCCTCAGGGACAGTAGGCTTTGGTATGTCCCATTGGTGGATTCTCCATCTCCAGTGCTGGAGAACGGGTGTTGTCTTATCTGAACGCCTTTTCTCAGCACGGAGATGGAGAATCCACTCCCACCCTTGTAGGTCATCTAGGCCTAGGGTTAGTCTCAGTTTAGTGAGTCACAACGTCTTGCTGTCAGTCAATGGCTACACTCGCGTCAAGACTGGGATCTCTGTGGTCCAGGACGGGAGTGGCAACTTTGGCTGACTTGATCTGATTGGGCAGGAATACAGTCTAAACCCATTGGTGGATTTTCCATCTCCGTGCTGAGAAAAGGCGTTCAGGTAAGACAATGTCCCGTCTCTTATTTTTCAGTGGATGTTTGAAAATATATGGCAGAAAGTTTATGAATAAAAAAATCAAATTAGTCTCACCTTAATTTTTCATAGAAATTTCTTTTCCTACAAATTACTCTTGATGATACTGTTCTTTTAGGGGAAATTTTTTATAGGAGATCCTAAGATAGACATTAAGTAACTTTGATTAATTTATTTAGGAATCAGAATAGTATAACATTGGTATATGAGAAAATTTATATCTTGCTGAGTCTTTGGACAAAAGAACATAGAAGTTGAAATATAAATAATTTCTGCATACTTAAAAACTTGGATTACCATTTCGGAGAGGAGAGTTCTTCTGTGTATAAATCCCAACTAAAACTGGAAATTGTACTAACTGATTATTATACAGTGATTTATTCAGAGTATTTTCTTAATTGTTACTTGCCCAGAGATAGGAATCTTGCCAGACTAAAGTGCAATCTGCATAACTATTAGATATACCCTGTAAAAGAGTTAAGGAGAGTCTGCTCTGCTTATCAAGGATTCAAGCTGATTTGTCTTTCTACTTGGGAAAGAGGAGAACGTTTTCACATTTCTGATATGTTCATAAATTCTTCTGTGAAAACTTTTCCCATTTTCCTTAGAAATATATTTGAGCTGGCTATAACTTATCCAGTTCCTTTTTTCTGCTATATGTATAACACATTTCTCTTATTATTTTTTTTATTCCAGCCAGTTACTGATTATGTAGTCAGGTGGGATGGCTTTGTATAGCTAATTAGATTTATGTTTATAATACCAGAGCAGAAAACAGTCCTGTGTTGAAGAGAAATGTTGTGAGTGCTTCTTTGTCTCTGTTGATAATGCTATATGATTATGAGGTTTGGGAAAATATTAACAAGAATGTTCATCATTATTATTAACTAATTTCAATGTGATGTCTTTTTTTAAAAAGTATTTACACAAAAGGCCAAGGACATTTTAGAGCAGTATTAGCTAGTTTCTAAGACTTGCATAATAAAAATATCCCTCTTAGATATTATGAAGCCTTATTTGGAGACATGTTTTTCTATGTTTCCAGTTTGGAAATTTCCATTCCATTTTGGAGGAGATACAGGGTTGATAAAGAGGGCTGGAAAGGCTGAAAGGATGCAAGGACAACATGATCACATTTCAATTGAGAATGTTATCAAAACAACTATAGCTTTATTTTATTTAAGAATATTTATAGGAAACAGGAAACTCTCCTAATACTTTGGAATCAGTAAGTTGCCAAATTTAGAGATTGATGAGAAAGGTTAGGCAAATGTGCCAGGAGTACTTTAGTCAGATTTAATCAAGGAAATCTAGATGTTCATCTCTAATGGTTCTCTGCATATTTTTTATTCCAAATTTGTATTGGAATTGAGTATTATACACCCCACTCCATTTTTTAAAAAGGCTATTAAAAAAACATAGCAGTCAGAGTGGGTAGTTCTTGGATTGGGGCAGCATGTGTGCAATCATCAATACAGAATGCTCATTTCTCTCTTTCCAGGAGGCGAAGGTCAGAATGGCAGTGGGCAGCAGACAGAGCCGCTATTGTCAGTCGCTGGAACTGGCTTCAAGCTCACGTCTCAGATTTAGAGTACCGAATCCGGCAGCAAACAGATATATACAAACAAATTCGAGCCCACAAGGTAAGAAAACAAAAGTTACTTCTTTTGGATCTTTACCGTTTATTACAGGTAATCCTCAACTTACAACCATTGGTTTAGTGACTCTTCAAAGTTACAATGGCACTGAACTTAAAACTAGTACTCAGCATTACGACTATCACAGAACCCCCGCAAGGTCACTTCATTAAAACTCAGGCACTTGGTTAACTGGCATGTATTTTTTGACAACTGCAGCATCTTGAAGTCAGATAATTGCCATTTACAATCATGTGATTCATTTAGCAGCTGTGGCAAGAAAGGTCATAATATCATGTGTGACTCATTTAACAATCACCCAGCTTAGCAATGGAAATTTTTTCCCCAATTGTCATAAATTGAGGACTACCTATACTGCAAATACTTTAATGTATGTTTTGCATTGCTTGTATTAGGGGAGGGTGACAGGATTTTATGGCTTCATATGTCTTAGCATTTTTATCATCAGATATAACTAGGTCAATGATGTTAGAATTACATTTTAGCAGACGTTGCAGAGCAACTTGCTGGTTTATTTTCATTAATAAGTTCAGTTTCCCAGGTTTCAAATTCTCCAGAAATATGTGGCACAAAAAGGGAAAGAAGTAAAATCAGTAGATCAAATCAGCCAACCCTGCTGGTATTTAGTAAAACTATGTGAGCCTGACTATTTTTGAAAGCCTTTGGAGATGTGTAGAATGTTGAATTCCCACCTCACAGCAGGTGATTAGTTCTTAGAGAGAGTGTCATTCCATAGTATGATGATGATAATTTTTAATTGATTTAATTTTTTGCTAACATGTTGGCATCATCTATGATTGAAGTGGCATTTTAATCTTGGAAAATAATAAATATCCCCAAATTAGGCCAAATAGGAATTTGATGCTACTAGGAAAACATGTAATTTGAGTGATTAATATGTAATTTTATCTGTTTATTTCAATTATTAGATATGAAAGTTGACTTCAATTGACTTTTACCTGGGACACCAGTCCTGAACCACTGGTCTTTCTAATATGATAATTGTGCCTTTATTTTTGATCTCTGACTTTCCAGGACCTTAATTACTTTTCTCAAGGCAAGAGAGAAAGAAATTTGAGTTACAGCTGTCATAAATATATATATCCAGAAATGTATTTGCTTCTTTATCCTATATGCTAGGTAAAATTTGATACAAATAGTATTTACAAATAACTAATTCAGTCACATTGTCTCTCTATCTCATTTCCTGCTTGATGAAGAACTCTACAGAAGTCTCAAGGTAGTACATACTCTGTGCCAAATTGATTGTTTAAAAAATGTACTTTGCAGTTGTTGATAATGGATTATTCCTCTTTCATGAATCAGGATAGATTTAATTCATATGCATTGTATCTGTTGGACACTCATTTGGGTACAACCATTTTACTTTTGCTTTCTGTCATTACTGGGTGTAATTCATAAGATTAAACAGAAATGTATAGGAGAAAATTAGGACACTTTTTTTTAAAACAAATTTTATTGGTTTTTTAAGTTCTTAAAGCAACATATTCAGGACACACCGTGGTGTTGGGGTAATCAAACATCTTAAAACAAGACATATATCCATAATATAATCAATACGTCAAATATTCCCTCTATTTTCCCTCAAATAGCATAGTATATTTAGAATATCCAATTCTAGCTTAAATTTATTCAACCTGAACCTGTTTTTAAGCTTCATCAAGGATTGATGTGGCCAGAAACACATACAGGTAGTCCTCAGTTTATAACTGGTCACTAAGTGACCATTTGAAGTTATAATGGACCTATCCAAAGTTCCTTACAACTCAGTTTCACATTTTGACTGCTGGCTAGCTATCTGCAGGTACAATAAAAAACAGAGAAAAAATAAGCTCACTTCATCACTCTTATCATCAAAAGTTAAGTCCTGATAAAGTTTCTTTGCCTGTGCTTGATTGAATTTGCTCTTTGTTTTTCTTCATCAGTGCTCTAGGTGTCCCTTTCATCACTTCATATCCTGGACTTCTTTGTTAAACCAAACAACTCTGTAGGATCTATGATCATAGGGATCCCACAAAAGCACAGTTTGATCCAAGGCTCTTCTATGCTTGTTCCAGGCCATAATTAAGGCCTCTAAACCATGATCAAAGCTTTGGGTATAATCTATAATATAATCAATAATGAATCTATAATATAATTCCCCCTGAAACTCCACTGAGCAATCAATCACCTGACACCAGCCAGTCAGATAGGGTCTTTTTCTCTGCAGCAGAAGACAGAGAGAATTGCAAGGGAGAACTGTGAATAGCATAGGATTGATATTAACATCTGCCAACCCCAATCAGGTTGCCATTTCCCCAAGACAAAAAACAAATCCAATTATGACCTCTGTTGTGATGTCCCCTCATGAATCTGAATGAGGTCCATAGTTGCCATAGTGGTCAAAACCTTCAACAGTTTCTGATTCTGGATGTAGAAAAAAGCAAGTAGAAATCCTCCAGGACCATCAGACTAGGTCTGTTTCATTGCAAACTCAGCACCTAGACCATAGAGAGACGAGCAGCCCTCTTAACTGATCTGCCCTTGAAACTTGGAAGGGCACATTTCAAAGAAATGACAGACATACAGAAGGCCCATATATGCCTACCCATTATACCTGACCATGTGTTGATAATGCATGAGGTCAGTCTTCTTATCCAGGATCAAATTGTTGATGAGGCAACCTTATTATAGTATGATCTGCAACAGCTGGATTTCAAGGTCTATGAAGTCTTCTAGAAATAAGGCCTTGAGACTGAGCAGGTGGGCTGGTTTCTAAGGTGAGAATTATGGTTTCTGGTTTCTGATGTTGCAGTATGATTTAGATAAGATGGAAGAGGCTTGTACTCCTCTACAATTATGATTACAATTCCCGATTACCACAGCCCATGTGATTCATGTGAATGATAGTGGAATAACCTCCCTTGATTTAAAGAGAACCAGGTGCTACTTTCCCTGGTACAAGATGACATTCAGAGTAAGTGAGGTTTTATGCCAAAAATCCAAGTTCAGCCAACAAAGCTATTGCCTCAAAATGTAATAATTAAACCAAGCTCATGACAATTGGAACCATACTTACTTTGTTGAAAACGTTCTAACAGTCAGTTTTTTCAAAAATAGCACTGTTCACTTTCTCTTTTACATTTATTAATTATGAGTTTTAATTTATTCCTAATCTCTGCCAGATATAATAATCCAAAATGACAAAACATAACACCCAAGCACTCTGTCCATATCTTTGACTAACAACAACCAATAAAAAAAGTTAAGCCTTTTCTATGGATTTTGACAGAAATAGCCAAATTAAAATAAATGCAAAGAATTTTATTAAGAAAAGATAAAACAGCATTGTAAAAGGGGAGTAGTGATAGCAATCATTGGAATAAGTATTTAAGATGTAGCTTTTTTTCACAGGCCTTTGGATCCAGTTGAGTGAAATCAGGTTTTGCTTATTTAATTATTATATTTGATTGTTTACACACTGGGTTGTTTTTAAAAATTGCTCAGAGGTGGTTTTTTGTTGTTGTTTAATGTTTATTTTTATTGCATTTTGCCCAGAATCACATTGTTTGAATCAGGCAGCTCTATAAATTAAACAAAAACATACATCTATCCATACATCTAGTAGATAGCTACTGACATAGCTACAACTAGGCCATAAAGTGGTTTCAGGATGTTATATTAGTCTTTACTAGATTCATATGTTTCTCCTATTTCTTTGATGACCTGTATAAGTGGGAACCAGGCACTATTCAGTAGGAAAAAGTGCTAAGGAGAAATGTTGTCCATTGTCCGAATCTTCCATATCCATTGCAGTTCAGCAGTAGCAGTCTTTCACAACCTGTTACCTTGGGGAGATGAAGTCCAATGCTATTTGCTCTTCTGGCATGGAGAAGAGCATACAGGAACTGACATGAGATATGCGAGACAGGACCAACCTTGAAATATCTTCAAATTATCATGAATCTGTACCATAAAAAATAGCAAATACAGAAAATGACTGCCCACATACCATTCTGCACCTTTGTATCCCAGAGGAATCTTGAAATAATTTTTAGATAATTTGAATCCCTTCATAAAAAAAACACCCTCCCTCCCACCAAAGTTTACAATAAAATTCATCTCTAATTTATGCATTCCATATTTTACAACAACAAAGAGGCTGCTGGTAGCTGAGTTATAATATGTAAAAATAGCATTGTAGCATTCAAAGTTCAAAAAGCAATGTTCATTTATTTTTCAATTGTAATTTCTCATGGAACTCCTAGGGCAGGGGTAGGCAACCCAAAACACTTAAAGAGCCTCTTGGACCCGTTTCCCACCAAAAACAAAACACTGGGAGCCGCAAAACCATTTTGATATCTAAAATGAAGATAACACTGCATATATCCTTTTTTACCTTTATTATAGGTGTGTGTGTGTGTGTGTGTATGTATGTATGTGTGTGTGTGTGTATATATATATGTATGTATGTATGTATGTACACTGCAGCACGGATGAATATAAGAAAGAAGAGAGGAGACACCTCTTCCGTACATGCATATATAACGGTTATCCATTAAAATTTATCAAACGACATTGTACAACTTTCCAGCACCAGACCACCCAACGAAGAAGGGATTCCCCCCCTACAAGAAACACGCATCTCCTTCCCATACATAAGTAACATCTCAGAGGCCACAGCCAGACTACTAGCACCCCATGGTATAGAAGTAGCTCACAAACCTAACCAAACCCTAAGATCAAAAATTATGCGTCCAAAGGACCCCCTATCTACCATGGAGAAATCTTCTATTGTTTATAAGATCAACTGCAAAAACTGCGAAGGCAACTATGTGGGAGAAACAGCCAAATGCTTGAAAACTCGCCTCCACGAACACAAACTGGCCATAAAACGAGGCGAACCACACTCACAACTTTGGATGCATATGGCACAACAAGGCCATCAGTTTGACTTCAATAACACCCTTATCATAGCCAGTGAT